CCCCCCCCCCCCCGGCGGGCGCCCGTGGTAGAGGCGCAGGGTTAGGATAATATTCTTATGAAGCTATTAGGGTTTTGAACCGTTCAACTTTTGATACCTTCAATATCGCTACTGATTCTATTGTCACCCCCCCCCCCCTCCTCCCCATCCGAGCTGAACACATTTTAAAGAAATGAGAAGATTAACTTTTTTTTTCTCTCTTTACACCCGGGCTCGGACCCGCTGGGTATTGTCTCAAAATACCCGGACACGGACTGGGAATAAAAAATGCACCCGGCTCAGCCCTAGAATTAGTAGTAGTAGTAGTAAGCACTGAACGTTTTAATTTTGAACATTTTCAATTCAATTTGTGAAAGTGTTAATTTCTTTTGTTCTTAATCTTGTATGTTCATTTCGAGGTTGCTAGACTTATTCCTAGCTTAAATCTGTATTAGCTTTCAATATCAGACTGGATATCATTTTTACATTTTAAAAAAATATGTACAACTCCACCTGTAAGCCATCCTCGTCGTCCTAACTGCCACGTATGCCAGCGGACAAGTGGAAAATATCAATGAATAAAACCCTTGTTGTATTGAATTTTAATATTTCGTTATTAAAATGTTGTAAGGGGGGTGGGGAGGGGGTTGGAAAAAGGTGGTGTCGGCGGTGGTCCACTCCGCCCGAACCGGGATGAAATTATTTTGGGTGATCATTTACGGTCGGTTTCATAACACTTTATTGAGGTTATTTGTATATGCGTGTTCTCCATACATTATAGTTTCAAAGACCGGCCCGGACGTCACAAACTCTAGGGGTCACAAACTCTAGAGGTCACAAACTCAAGCTACTCCACCAGATTGTGCGAACTGAAGGTGAGGAGGGAAAAAGTCTTATTGGAAGGAGTGGAGCTCATAGTCTGTAAACAATTGTTGCCGTTGACGGAATGTGATTCCGTAAACAATTGTTGCCGTTGACAGAATGTGATTCCGTAAACAATTGTTGCCGTTGACAGAATGTGATTCCGTAAACAATTGTTGCCGTTGACAGAATGTGATTCCGTAAACAATTGTTGCCGTTGACGGAATGTGATTCCGTAAACAATTGTTGCCGTTGACAGAATGTGATTCCGTAAACAATTGTTGCCGTTGACAGAATGTGATTCCGTAAACAATTGTTGCCGTTGACAGAATGTGATTCCGTAAACAATTGTTGCCGTTGACGGAATGTGATTCCGTAAACAATTGTTGCCGTTGACAGAATGTGATTCCGTAAACAATTGTTGCCGTTCACGGAATGTGATTCCGTAAACAATTGTTGCCGTTGACAGAATGTGATTCCGTAAACAATTGTTGCCGTTCACGGAATGTGATTCCGTAAACAAGGATGGGATTCCGCAATGCAAACGACGCGAAAGAGGAAGGTAGGGGAAAAAGAAGACACCAGGAAGACATCTGAACATTATCTTGAAAAAATTATTTCTATGTCATGCTGTAAAAGAGGCAGGAGAATTGAGCATTTCCCACTGCAAACAACTTCATTGGACAACTATGAGGCAGATGACTGGTAGACCAATGACGACCATTGGTAGCCATTAGCGATTAACTTGTAAGTTTGCGCTTCATCACTGAGTGTCACCCAAGTCATCGCGCCCGTCACTTTTGTTTGTATAGCATGCAGGCCTAATACAGAATGCAAATGACCCTATAACTATAAAGTTTCAGTAACATTGATTCAGCTGTATGACCTCTCAGATGTTTGGCTTTGAACTTTGTTGGCTCACTTACTTTAATACATCTGCTCGTCTAGGCCGACATGTGGTAATTATGTTTTACATATTCTTGTCACTTCAGGCTATTACGAGTTCTGAATGGTGCATTAACAGGCCTCTGAGTTTTTGCCGGTGCACACCAAGCTGCGTATATTATACAAATCTAAAGTTACAAATTATTATTTTTAAAAAAGAAATATATTATTATGATGTTATCAACATATACAATGGCGGCCGCATTGCGTGAACTTCTCATGTACTGAAGTTACTTGACAAGACATGTATTGAAGTAACGTACTTTATAAGATTCCCAATTAGTCGTTCTCTCCCCCCCCCCAACCGTACGTTTTTATCCGGTAGAGTTAGTGACAGTGACATTGTTACATAGAGAATTACGTAGTTTGATTAGTAATCAGATTAGGTTCAGCT